GTTTCCAAAAGCAGAGAGTGATGCAGGACGAGGCTCCAGGGAACACACTCCCGTGGAAGATGGGCAGATTGGCTGGGAGCGCAAAAAAAGAGAGGACGGGCTGAGCCTGGACCCAAGTCTCCATAGTCCAACTCCAAGGGAACATCTGAGTCACCTGCCCCACTCCTCTGAGGCTGGAGAGAAAAGCACGCTATGACGAGAAGGGAAGCCTGAGGTCAAGAGGAGCAAAGCTGCCAGCCCTAGGGCAGCTTCTTGTACCCTTCCTTAAGCACCCTCATGTCACCCAGGCAAGGGCTTGACGTCTAATCTCAGTCCCATTCTCTGCACCCTGGAGCCACCAACCCTAAGGGGAAGCAGTAGTTGCCTCACGTTCTAGGGGTGAGAGAGTGAGGAGATGGGGATCTCCATTTTCTTTACCAGATTGTATGGCCAAAATTACATCTCTAAAACTATGGGCACCTCCTCCATCATCTCCTTCAATCCCACCTGGCCACTACCCCACCTCCCACTTATTCTCCTTGAGGTCCCTTTTCCCCTTCTAAGCAACATGATTCTTAGTAGCTCTTGTCCCACAGCCCTTTGAGGGCTGAGACAGTATGTTAAGAGAATGGCTATTTCAGTCAGCCATGGTAGCACATATCTGCAATCCCCGAACTGGAGATGCTGGCTAGGAGGATCAGAAGGTCAAAGCTAGCTTTGGCTATAGGAGAGAGACCTCTTCTCAAAGAGAGAGAGGCTCTTGTGCTACTACAAATGACCCCTCTATACCGCCCTTCTTCATCTAACCATGAACAGGAAAGGATTAATCCACTGTTTGAAGCCCATGAGCTGGAATGGGTAACAGGGCAAGACCTGGACTGTAAATGTCAAGGATGAGTGCCAGTCTACCTCCCCATCCTTCTCTGGCTTCAAGACTCCTTCCTTGTGACTCAGGCCTGTTGTCTTCCCTCCAGACTCCAACCAGCAACAGATGTGACCTTCAATCCCATCCCAACTTCAGCTTGAGCCCAAAGGCAGTTCTGGAGAGAGGAGGGAGGGTGGTGGGCTGGCTAACATCCCCACATCTGGAGTCTTTCAAGCCAAGCCTCTGGTGGCTTCTGCCCTAAGTGTTCCCAGAGCTTGCTTTGTTGCATGTATGTGGGTGGGCACACGCACACACACACACACACACACACACACACACACGCACGCACGCACGCACGCACACACACACACACACACGCGCGCGCGCACGCACGCACACACACACACACACACACGCATACACACACACACACACAATTGCATGCACACTAAATCAGCCATTCTACTCCTTCTCAACCTTTTCTGGTTTTGGCCCCACAAAGCTCCAGCTCAACTCCTAGCAATCTCTACCCCTACTCTGTGACATACCCTCCCTCAGCCCTCAACCCACAATCTCCAGTCTCTTAGGCAACAGCTCATAGTTTCAAAACTCTTTATTGAACTTGCTCAGCATTGTGCATATGTATGAAGAAACCAGAGTAAGGCACTATGCTCAGAACCAATGGGGAAGACCCCCACCACCCTCCTCCCACAGACCACACCCCCACACTTCATCTGAGGAGTCTTCACTTCTTGCGGGGTTGTTTATCTGGGCAGCCTTCAAAGAATTCATTGCACATCATGGCGATGCAGGACAGGAAGATGCAGTATTCCTGGAAGTCTATTTCATTATCCCTGTTGCTGTCCAAGTTGCTCATCAGCTTCTGGAATCCAGCTTCATCTGTCCTTTTCTGGAGGTAGAAGAAGCACAGTTAGAAGCCAAACTCAAGCTAGATCTCTGCCTCCAGCCAGGAGCTCAAGAAGGCCTCCAGGCACTCCTTGGCAGCCTTGGGGCTAAGCTATGTAGAGGAGGACACTCCTTGGATGAGCACTTGGGATAGCTTGGAAAGGGTGGGACCACATCTTCCGGATGCTTGCTTTAATTATCTCATTAGGTAACAGCCATGACCATGAAGCATCAGCGAATGCAAAGTGTCATTGAGGGGAGGGTCTGAAGGTATTCATGTGCCTCCACAATCGTGTCTTCACAAACAGAAACTCAATTTCTATTGCCAATAGTCCTGATCCAGGCTGCAGTTTCAGACACTACCTTAGGCAGTTGTTTTGGTTTTCCTATATCTCTTCAGTTGTGGTCATTCTAAGCCTTCTCTCAGCTGAGGGCTAATGAGAGGTAGATGCTTCACTGTGGTTTCACACCACGCACCTACAGCAAGCTCTCTGGCCTCCATCTCCCTACCCTAGGTATATAGACCAGGGGTAACCAGGCACTGCCTCAAGGCTAGTGCCTACCAGAGCCCCATCCTCCTCCTGGGGATGCACAACACATGAAATATACAGGCAGGACCCACTCACCCCCAGGAAGCTAGGCAGCTCCCTGGTCAGCAGCTCCTTCAACTCTGACTTGTTGAGCTTGAACTTATCACCCTCTTTGCCTGAGTATTTGTGGAAAGTAGATACCATCCTATCCAGAGCCTCTTCCAAGGGGTATGCCATGGTGACAGTTGAGACCTAGAGGCAGGAGACACAAAGGTAGCCTTTCCCAACCCACACCAACAGTGTTTCAAGAACTGGCTATGTGGCGTTGTACTCATAGACTCATTCTGCCCCATTTTAAGTGCTCCATTCCAAACTACCCTCTGGGAGCACTTCAGGGGACTGTCCTCACTCCCAGAAGAGTGGGGCCCATTGATGGCAAGAGGGTCATGTATGCTTTGGGCTCTGAAAAGCCTACCACACAAGCTCTGGAGGTTCGTGCCAGCAGCTTTCGGGGGCCTCCCTCAGCCCTGGCCTCAACAACAGCAGTGTTCCATCCCTCACTCAGCTCATTCACTCCCACGACTCAACCACAAGCACCAGGCTCTGACCCATTCTTCTCCCTCCCGGCGTTGGGCGCGGCTGCTGGCTGCCTGCCCAGGGCCCTACAGCGGAAAAAACCCAGCTGCCTGGTGACCAGCTGAGGGAGGAGTGAGATGAGGTGGCAGAGGTAGGGGCATGAGGGGACGGTGGGGAAGCCGGGCTCTCTTGGTCTTGGGTGCTGCTATATGTCCATAGGGCACTAATATGAACACAAAACACACTATGAACACAAAAGCCTACAGGGGGTTGCTCAAAAGATGGCTTAGTGGGTAAAGGTGCTGGCCACCAAGCTTGACGGCCTGAGTTTGATCCCCAGAGCCCACACGGTAGAAGGAGCAGACTGACTCCCACAAGTTGTCCTCTGACCTCCGCAAGTGCACCTCGGCATGAGCCCCCTACCCCCAACCCACACCACGCATGCACACAAGTAAATAACTGTAATTTAAACGTTAAAAAGCCTACAGGTTCCTTCACTTTGCTTCCTGCACCTGCTTCCTGCACACATTGGCTTGACTGTCAGGGTACCTATCCACGGCTCCCAAACACAAACATACACTGTAGCATCTCAGAAACTCTTGAGAGTTCAAATGCCATCTATACACTCTTTTTTGGTTTTCATTCTTGTGCAACACACACACACACACACACACACACACACACACACACACACACACACACAGGAGCCTCCACATCAGAATCTCTCATCTGGATCTATTAAAAACATCTGTCTCCCCAGCAGCCTCCCTTTCTCCTGTCCCAGTCTCAGCAGCTAACACTGCTATCAGGCCAACCCAACTCACCAGACCCAGAGAGAGGAAGTGCTGAACAGAGAGGTTTGGGGAGAGCCCAAATGTCTGCCCTATTTATACCCCCGCCAGGCCCTGCCCCTGCAGGGGATGGAGGGGGAGCATGGATACTGTGCTCCTGCTGTTGGTTGATGTAGTAAATGTCACAGCCCCCTCCACCAGCCCAGTCTGGGAACCAAGCTTCCTGCTCCCCAGCAGGCACAGGCGAGCAGTAAGTGAGCCCCAGTGGGCACAGCAGAGACCTGAATGGTGTGGATACCAACCAGTAGCTGCAGCTCAGTCCAAGTTTTAGGAAGTTTTGAGAAGGGGCAACCTGGGCATGGGATGTGGGCCACAGGAAAGGAGATGGAGAGGTGATGGGCAAAAGGTGGAAAACTGCCCTGGAAATGTGTGGCCCTGGAATTGGGAAGGTGACCCCAGCCAGTGGGACAGTCAGTCAGCCCTTCTCTACAATCAAAACATCTCTCTGTCATGATCAGTAAGATCCAGAGTGAAGACTAGCAAGTCAGGAGAGGCCTTGGGACCACCCCAGGTATTAAGTAGGAAAGATGCATAGGAGGTCTTGATGGACTTAGGGCGGTAGTGAGGTCTGGAGGATCATGAATGGGTGGAAGGTCCAGTGAGGGTATCAGGGGTGATGGGAGCATTCAGGGTTGAACACTCAGCTTAGAGAAGAGAGCTAGAGGAGAAACAGATAAAATGGGGAGTCAGGATTAATCTCTAAGGATGGGGTACAAACACGGGAATTGAGTGAGAGTCAGAAATGGTGATTTGGGGCCCTCAGGGGGCTGTGGTTTCAGAGATGGGGACTGATTGCCCCAAGTATCCCCTTCCCCCTCCAATAAATACAAAGCCTCTCTCCCTGACTGGAAGGAAGTATCTCAGAGGCCCTAATCCTATTACTGCTGCTTTCTGGTCTCCCACAGCTACACCCACAACCACACCCACAACCACAACCACAGCCACACCCTCCTTGGAGCATCCCATCACAAGTGCTGAGTTCCTCCCAAGGAGCCCCCTGCCCTCCTAGAAAGCCCAAGGGAAGGGCTTCCACCTCAAGACAGGGGACAGAGAGGTGGAGACAAAGACCCCCAGCCTCACCTGATGGGGTCTTATATTGGCCCCACCCTCCTTTGAACACTGAGACCTGTGCATTCCTGTGGAGTCTGCCACTGCCTTCAGCCTCCTTCCTCCAGTGGTAATGAGCGTAGAAGAGCAAAGGTTCCCAAGGACTCCATCCCAAAGTCCCATGTGTCCCATCAGAAGAACCAGACCAAGCCGAGCTGACATTTCTTTATTAGGAGTTGAGTAGGCCCCTGCCACAGTGGTCCCAATTGTGTGCTCATGGCTGAGCCTCCAAAGTGAGAGCAGAGATGTTCTCCCTCCCAAGAACAGAAGCAAAGGCTGGCTACCGTTCCACCCCTCACTACTTTGGCATCCCTAGGAAAGTACTCATGAGTAGCCAGGGTTAGCAAACCAGGGACCTGGTTAAGTCCAGATTAAAAGGGTCCCACAGAGAGGGTAGGAAGGGTGTGACCACACACCCAGGACCACCTCAGGGACAAAGACGGAGCACTAGAGCAGACCCTGCCCTTCCAGGAAGGCATGCCCCTCTGGATCAGAGGCTACTGGGGACAAGGGGGCTCAGGGGGGCAGTCTTTGAAGTACTCGTGGCAGTAGAGACAAAGGCTGGCAAGCGCGCGCACGTACTCCCCAAAGTCCACCTCGCAGTCCTTGTTGGTATCCAGAAGACTCATGAATTTATTGTAGTCACACTCCCGGAACTCACTCTGTGGAAGGGATGAGAAGGGAAGATCAGGAAAACCAGGATGAGGAGCCTAAGCAGCTTCCCACACCACCCCCCTCCTAAGGGTGGACCTCCCCCATTCCAACTCACCCCCTCCTGGGGGGCCAACCTCATCCTACCCATCTTGATAAGACACCCATTTCCCAGCCCAGCTTCTCGGCGCATTTGCTGAGCACCGACTCCTTGCTATGGAGAGCCTGCTATGAGTTAGGTGTTATCCACAGGACAGTAAGGGTGACTGTCACCCTCCTTTACATCCTCTTTTGCTAAGGCTCAGGCAGCCATGTCAGCTCACTTCCTTATGTCCCCTTCCCACCGTCCAGTCTCTCCCTCACGGTGCCCTATGCTGGTGTTTGACCCCAGGCCATTCTTTGCAGAATCCAAGTGGTACCTTCCGCTAGCAGGGAGAGGGATGAGGGTGCTCACCGGGGTCCAGGTGGGCAGCTCCTTCTGCAGCAGCTCCTTGAGCTCCGACTGGCAGATCTTGTACTTGTCCCCACAGCGCCCAGCATACTCCTGGAAGGTGCACACGATGGCAGCAACTGCCTGCTCCAGGGGCCGGGTCATCCTCACTGTCACAAAACAAGGATGTGACACACAAGGAGAGCCAGGCCAACACTCTTCTCCCTCAGTGTTTCCCAGGAGCTAATTCCAGACCTGTCAATCTCTACCGTGCTGAAGTTCCCCTTTTCTCTGAGCAGCCATCCTTGACAACTGCTTACACACACACACACACACACACACACACACACACACACACACACACACACACACACCACATACACACACCAATTTACCTCCCCATTGCGCCTGTTGGGATTTTTCTGGACAGGAGTTTCATTTGCCCAGCATTACCATAAATTCCTCAGGAACAGAATATCCTACCCCATCACCTTCAACCCCCACTGTGGGTCTCCCTAAGGATTGATTCACTCCGGTCCTTTCTCACCCAAACACCTGGGAACTCTCAGTCTCCCACTGGACACCATGTGATGCAGCCCCTGGTCCTAGAAGCCTCTGCCCCTTGGGGTCCTGGAGGTCCATCCTGTAGAAATCCCCGCCCAGTGCTTCTTTGCCCTGGTGAGGCTAGTGCCAGCAGGGATGGTCAGCTTGAGGGGATCCCCTACCACCTCACTATGCCTCCTTCCCTGACCCAAAGAAGCTGCCGTTGGGGATCCTCCTCTTGCTCACTCTGCAGCCCTGGGTGAACTGTTTCTCTCTGGGTCTCAATTGTCTTTATCTGTAAAGTGGGTTAATCTAGTCTCACAGGCCTAGACAGAAACATGGACCAGGTCTTCTCTGTGGAGTCCATCAGCTCATAGATCTATTCATCTATGACCTGCCCTATCCTATAGCCACCCTCCATTCCCCTGGGTGGGGCGGGGTGTGTGTGTCTTAAGACAGAAGGCTTTGAGAAGAGGCCCCCACTCTGATGGAAGGGAAGCAGTTCCTAGGACCCCTTCCCTCTCCCCACCCCCATTTCTATTGTCCCCTTCCATTGCCCACCCAGCCTGGGCAAACCCTGGGCAGGCAGGAAGGCAATAGTCGTTTCCATGGGAGTCCAATGACTCACTCTTGACTCCCTCAGGGGACTGGAGTCCTGCAACATAGGGCAGCCAGAGCCAAGACTCTTCTTGGTGAGTTCCCTCTGCTGGGAGCAAATGGCCAGCAAGGAAGTAGGGGGGAGGGGAGGCTGAAGGGGCAAGCATTGTCGGAGTCTACTTTGTGACAGTCCAGGGCTGGAACAAGGATCCACGTTCCCAGTAGAGGAAAGGGCCGTGATCCCCAGAGCTCAGCTCCTCGGAGTCCTGTGCTCCTCCCAGCCCGCCTGGCGCCACTTCATCTGCTATTTCAGAAGCTTGGGGCTTGAAGATTCACAGGAATCCTCTCCTTCCTGGCAGCCCTAGCCTGTCCCAACTCATCCCCAGGAATGAAGCAAAGAGGCAAGGAGCTCCCTAAGGGCTCCACCAGAACCACAGATAGCCCATTGTCCCACATCAGTACAAGATCTTGGCTGCGCACACTCCCCAGGCCAAACCACCTCACAGCCCCTTAGTGTCCAGGGAAACCTCTGAGTTTACCATGTCCAGTTTCCCTCACCCTATCACTTGCTAACATAACCTCTCTGCTCCCACACCAGGGCCCTGTACCCAGGAACAGGCTAGCTGTTGAGGGGTCCCTGAGCTGCCCCAACCCCCAGCCCCAGGCAGTTCCCAAGCAGCCACACTCACCACTGCTGCTGGTGCTTCAGCTGTGGAGCCCAACAACTGGACGTCCCTATTTGTAGCCTCTCGGGAGATGAAGGGAGCAATTATAAGGACCCAAGTAGGTCAACACTGAGGCTGCCCCCAGGGTCCCCTGCCTTCTTCCCTCAGTAGCCTCTATTACAGGCCCACCACCCACCTAGCAACGCACACATCAAAGGCCCAGTCTGAGTCTCAGACACCACTCCCAACTCATTCCCCCTCTGCCCTTCCCCAAAGCTGGGAACTGGCGAGAGCTTCCTGGTAGCATCTTCCAGCCACACACACATCCCTCTCCTGAGCTCTTTATTGGAAAGAAACCCAGAATACAAAATGGGAGCTCACCTTGGATTCTCTTAGGTTGTACCTCCTGAGTCCCTGTACAGGGGAGGAGACCTTGGGACCATCTGGCTAAGGCCCTTATTTACAGGTGAGAAGTCTGAGGCCATGGGACATCCTCTTTGCCCCACCAGACCACTGAGTGTTTGATGGCCTTTGGCTGTGAATTGCTTATTTCACTGGAGGAAATTGTTGTGAGGTATTTTTGAGACTTAGAAGGAAGGGTGTTCCTAGGGAGCCTCCAGCTGTCGGGACTGGAACTTTCTTGCCTCTCTACTCCCAGTGATATGGATGAATTTGGGCCACAAATTCATGTGAGAACTGACCATGTTCCTGATCCCCTGAGGAAGCTGGTTTCCTAGTCTGCTGCTCTGCTCTACACTGGGGCAACTTTCCAGGCAGTCCTGGGGGTAGAGCATTCATTTGCCTTTTAGCTTAAGGGTATTGTCCCTTGGGGGCTCAGCATCACCTCTCAACTTGTGCCCCCTCCTCTGTGAGCTCTGGACTTCAGCTCATGTCTTCCTCATTCCCCAGATCATCAAACCTAAATTCAAGTTTAGACTTGGCCAGAGCCCTCGGAGTTCCCTGCTCAACTTTGTAGATTTTGCTATCACTTAAGCATTTTTTAACAAGTTTTTTGTTTTGTATTCTTGTTTTTTTTAAAAAGATTTATTTTTATCTTTACTTATGTATATGTGCATGAGTGTCGTACACATTAGTGCAGGTGCCCACAAGTGTCATAGGCATCGAGTCCCCATGGAGATGGGGTTACAGGTGGTTGTGAGTCACCTAATGTGGGTGCTGGGAACCAAACTTGGTCCTCTACAAAAGCAGTACACACTCTTGACAGCTAAGCCATCTCTCCAGCCATCACTTAAAATTCTGATGTGGTTTTCTTTTCTTTCTTCCTTCCTTTCTTTCTTTCTTTCTTTCTTTCTTTCTTTCTTTCTTTCTTTCTTTCTTTCTTTCCTTCTTCTTACTCTTCTTCTTCTTCTTTTGAAACTGTTTTTTTCTTTTAAAGATGTTTTTATATTTATTTTATGTGGGTGAGTGCCTGCATATCGGTATAACACATGCCTTCTCCCCAGGAGGTCAGAAGAGGGTGTCGGATCCCCTGGAACTGGGGTAATAGCTGATTGTGAGCCACAATGTGGGTGCTGGGAACAAAAGCTGATTCCTCTACAAAAACAGCAAGTACTTTTAATCTCTGAGCCATCTCTCCAGACACAATGGGGTTTGTTTTGTTTTGTTTTCTGAGTCAGAGTCTCTCTACATAGCCCTGGCTGTCCTAGAACTCACCATGTAGAATAGGCTGGCTCAAACTCACAGAGATCTGCGTGCTTCTGCCTCCTGAGTGCTGGGATTAAAGGCATGTGATACCATGTCTGGTCTGGGTTTTTCTTAATACGTTGCTGTTCTTTGATGTTGTGAAAAAGATTGTTTTAATTTTGTCCAGCATTTCCTGCTGTTCTTAGCTGGCATAGGCGGAAACTACCGTTGACCAGACACGGAAATCTTCTGCTACTTCTCTGTGCTCTCCCTACCCCTCAGCTTCCCTGTTTCACAGAAAGAAAACCTGACACCCAGAAGAGTGCGGGAAGAAGAGGAGCTTGCCTTCCCGCTGGTGACAAAACCCTCATGCATGTATGGGTAGCCCTTGACCTCACCCCGGGCCCAGCACCCAGCTTTCCCTGGGCCACCATCTCCTCCTGGAGGTTGCCAGCCGTGTGGGTGAGGGGAGTGAGCAATGAAGGCAGAAGGAAGGAAGAGCTGTGATTAACCATGTTTTATTGGCAAGAAGTTATGAGCAGTTTGGGACAGAGGACAGAGATGGTCACAGAGCAGCAGAAGGAGGGGCCAGAGTGGACCAGCAATTAATTTGCTTCTAGGTCAATGACTTATTCCCACCTGCTGCCAGCCACCTTAAGCCTGTCATCTCTGCTCTTGGGAGCTGATTTTCCTCATTGATGGAAATAGACATAGTAACCATCTCATAGGGTCATTGTGGAGTTTGAGTTAGCACAAGCGAGGCACACAGAATGAATGTTGCTAGAATATAGTAAGGGCTTGGTAACTGTTAACCCAGAGAGGTAATGAGTTGCCCAAGGTCATATAACCAGTGAATGGCAGACTTGCTAGTCACTGTTCATACAAGTCATTAGAGGCACTGATACTAGGCATCCAGGGTATAGCATAAACAAAAGAGACACAGTCCCTCTCAAGGGGGATGACGATCTAGTGGGAGAAGCAGCCAATAACAAACCCCCGTTTAATAAGCTGCTGGAGTCCAACAGCCTAGCTCCTGAGCACATGTTCTAGCCGGCAGCCTTTCTTGTTTCTGGGCACAGCCACGGCTCCTAAGAACACTGCATCTTTGTCCATGAGGAGATAGCTGGGAGAGGCTAAAAGACTTGTCTGGCTAGAGACGTGGGGTTGGAGGATGTACATGGAAAGAACACTTCATTGGGCCTTCATTCAAACCCCACACCCTTCCTCACCACCTGACTTCCACATGTTTGTCCTTTATCTTGTTAGAAATTTAATTTTCTTACCTCCAAAGAGGATTTGGAGGATTCTTACCCTAAGAATCCAAAGTGTTGCCTTATATGGTGGAACATGCCTTTCATCCCAGCACTTAAACAGCAGAGGCAAGCCGATCTTGTGAGTTCAGGCCCAGCCTAGCATACACAACAAGTTTCAGGCCAGTCAGAGCAACATAGTGAGACTTTGTCTCAAAAAGAAAGAAAGAAAATACATTTCAAAGTACTTTTTGTTACTAGTTGTTACTATGGCAATGTGAGGGCTCTGGCCCCCAAGTCTAACTCGAAACACACTCTGAGTTCCCTAGATGGAGGAGGGGAGAGAAAGATTCAGCCCTTCCTCACCAGATCATCTTACTCAGCTTCTGCTGCCACAGAGATGGAGGTCAGGACTCTAAATTCTCTTCCCTTGTTCCCAAAAACCCTTCTTAAAGTGCCTGGAATCTTCCTGCCCTACTGGAAGCTTTCCAGCATCTACCCTGAACCCCTTTCTGCAGTGACCCCCAACGCACAGTAGTGGACCCCAGTTCAAAGGCCTGGACTAGAGCCATCCTCCTTCCTTCCCACTCTCTCCTGTCCA